CCATAAAAATATAGGCTATAAACATTCTAAAATATATATGTTTACCTTTTAAGCAAATTGCATAAATTAGAATAATGATGTCTCAAAACACATTTATAGCCCATATCTCATTGTCCTAACGTATTCCTACCCTTAACTGCGTTAAACATGGTGTCACGTGGATGGAATATGCATGGAAATGATATGCAGATGACATTATGCATATTAAAACTAGGCATTGTATGCTCCATAAATGGCTATTTCGGGGAGGAGACGGGGTGGAGATTTATGTATGCACAATCTTCCGCTGACTGGGTATTACAAAGGGAATTTTGTGCAGGTTCTGGCGTACGCATGGCTTTATAAATCTGAAAACTTTTGTACGGACGCAAAATCTAGCTTTTGTGCGTACACACACACATTTAGGATGAAATCTACGTAAAGTTTTATACATGAGGCCCCAGGAATGCATAAAGTAAATAATGAGATTAAATTAACTGAGATTTCATTTTTGACTTCTCCTGAATAGGTGAGTGTAAAGTGATGATGAGCATGTTTGTGAACAAAGAGCTTTCATTACCACACGTTTAGTTCAATCAGATTCTCTAAATGACACTTGTGAAGACTTTTGGCTGCAAGCAGGCTATAGCTATAAAACATTTTAAAATCACAATCACCATCTTTACAACCACAGCTGCTGCCAGAGACATAATTTCACATCAGATCAAATCAGAAAACCAAATGATCTCTACAGCAGTGAGACAAGTATGCAGTTACCAAAGCCTCCCCGAAAGGTTTGCATTTCTCCAACTGTTGCAGGGCACGTCTGTACTGGTGTGTGACCGTCTCAGGTACGCCGTCGTCAGCCCAATCTGCATACTCCGCGTATGTTCCCTCCATATCTACAGAACACAATATCAACACAAACAGATCAGAAAGCAAGCTTTCTGAAAGCAATCTTTCATTTTTCTGTATTGCAGGGGCACACGGTGTCTGCTCTAGGGCTGTGCGATATGGACAAAAAAATCGCGATTTCTTGATCAATTTTGCGATTTCGATTTTAATCACGATTTTGACACACACAGACATGCTTTACAGTCATAAATGCATTCAGTGTGAATCTGAAACATTTCCAAAAGAAAACGAATTAGAGCTTTATCAAGAAGCTGTACCATGTCTCTAGAACAGACATAAGGCAAAATAATCACTAAGTAAAGGTGTAACAAAATGTCTCTAGAATAGACATATATGGCAGAAAAAAAA